TTAGTATACACTCTCCCCACTCTCTTCCTTACAGCACTCAAAATGGACGCAAGCCACAAGTCAGCCAATATGCTAGTTGGTATTTGCGTTGCCCTGGAGGAAATCTAGTGATGAAATGGAAGACTAATACATCTTATTTTAAATATTGGCTTTCTGTTTTAGCCCAATATTCACCATGTAATGAGGTAAAAATTGATAGTCCTAATTTAGATCACATCTTTGTTCCTGACATCTGTACATTCGGATTCAGAAGGAAGTCTAGTAAAGTTATTCTAAAAGCGAATCGCTATCATTAAGACCATCGATGACATTCAATGCTTAATCATATTCGATTCCCTTGATGCTACAGCTATTCATCGCTGGAGAGTGATACAGAAACCCTTGCAGGGTGTGGAACAAACAAGACTTTAAATGAAGTTTAAAACTTTCTGCATAGAACTTCAGACTTCATTCGTCTCACTAAAGTTATAACTCTCTTTTTAAGTATTTATCCATTCTGTGAAGTTCTTGCACAAATATGTTTGGTTTCCATTGAGATTCGCTTTGGTGTGATCTCTTTGCAATAAAGTTTCAAGTGAAAACTTGGAAGAGATACATATACCTAAAAGTTCCTTCTGATAAACCTATTGTTAAAGAGTTAGCGAAAGGCCAGACCCTACACAATTAATCAATTAATTAATTAATTGATTAATTATCCTGCCCTAAATTTGGTGACATTTGCTCTCAAGTAGTTTCTAAATAAAAATGATCTGATACAATGTGTCGATATATTAGCTTTCATCTTTGGTTCATGGCTTCCCAATTCATCATTTAGATATCTACGATACCTTCAAGTTTCGAAGACACGGTTACAAATTTCATCATTCAAATGCCAACAAACAAACAGTTCCCACCAAATGTTTCCATTCAAAAGCTGACTGGTGAACAAACTGATGTATTCTTACAAATAAAAGCAATTTCAAAGTCCCCAATCCAGTTGTTCAGTGAATTCCATGTTCTTTAGTTACTATATTTATGTTTACAGAAAACTCTTTTTGTGCAATGGATTTCCACAGCATCTTCATCGGGTGGTTTAGTGAGAATTCATAGATTTGGCGTACCACTCAGAGTCCTCCATTTAGCTGCAAACATCCAACCTCAACATGGATATCTGCAAGTGTCGGTTGTCAGTAATTGGATACTTACTTTCAAAATATGTCATTCCTAGTCTTCTGTTTTTGGGGAAGCGAATTTTCGTCAACGTTCTTTCTGACACTATTCATTATCCGAAACTCCAACAGTAACTAACATTGCATTTTAGACCAAATCTGTCCAAAAATCGTCGGGAAATCTTTTATACGCTTCTATTTACCTGACTTATTTTATTAGTTTCTTCACCATAATACTGGCTCACACTAAGTACACCATAACATACTTTTCTATCTAACTGTTTGCGGTTTATGATGACTTTCTCATATCCGCGGTAAGGCTTTTTTTAGTTGTTATTATACTCAGGTGTTATATCTTTGATTCTAATCGTTTCCACTGTTGCATTAAATTCTATGTGTTTACATTATACATTTTAAAACAGCCAACTATTGTCCATACCAACTCCATACTTTGTCCTTACTCATTTACATAGTAACTAGTTTGCGTTAAAAGTATATTGCTTTAAAACAAACAAGTGAAATGAAATTAGATGAATCATGTGAATTACTTGACACATACTTTATAAT